CAGGTACGGCGACTTCCTCAGCCCCTCCGGGCTGGTGAGGTTACGCGAAACGTCTAGGCGGCTAGGGCTTGTCGCCGGAGACGTGCCCGATCCTGAAGCCAACATTCAAACAGTTACACGGATGCAGGCCTAGTCGGTTCCAACACGCGGCTCTCGTCTGAGCGCCGCGCGCATTCGTCTTAAAATGGTGCAGCAGCTGCGAGGATGAGGACCCCGAATTCGATGAATCGAACTTTCAAGTGTGCAACGGTTGATGGGATAAAGACAAGTTCGTTGTTTATGATACGGCTCTTCCTTAAGACTTCCTCAAAGCCTATGGCCTATGGCCTGGCATTCAAACTTGTGCAACAGCTACACCCACGGAGAACGGTTCCTGCTCAAACTGTGGCTCTCGCGCGACCTTCGTTTCCTTCATGGCCCGAACTCTGAAATTGTGCAGCACTCGAACAGATGGAGGTCGTGCCTGTTCAGAACGAGGCTGCCGCTGGACACTCCACACACACTTCATCATCCTACCTCTGACCTTGCCGTGGCCGAAAAAGTTGAGGGCGGGTCCTTTGCACAACGGGTTCTCGTCTGAGTGGCAGTCCCAACAGGCGCTCGTCACTGAAGTAGTGCAGGTCTCCCCGCAGAAGGGATTCTTCTTGAAGGCCTATGAGTAGAAGCCTCGACTTGGAACAGGGGGGATGTCTTGTCACGTCGTTGGTGCATCCTGGGTTCACTCTGGTCCTCCTCCTTCTCCCCCTCTTCCTTCTCCTCCTCCTCCGCCTCCGCATCCGCCCCTCCCTCTGCCCCCCCTTCCGCCCCTCCCCACCTCCCTCCCTGCCCCCCCCCCCACTCTGTCCCTGCTCCCGGGGTGGGTAGGGGGTGCGGGCGGGGCGGGGAGGGTGAGAGGGGGGAGACGGGGGAGACTGGACTGGCGGGTGTGACGATGGACCCTGGCCTCGGAACCGCCTCGCGAGCGCGGGCCACCGCCGCCGTGCTGCTCTCAGCGCAGGTCTCAGCGCAGCCCATAGCGCAGCCCATTGCCTCGAGGCTACGCACCGCGCTGCCGCGCGACGATGAGAACAACAATATACAAAAAACGCAGTTTGTCCTGAGCCGAAAGGGCCGTAAATTTGCATCGCATCTGCTCTCCGCCTCCTCCTCCTCCTCCTCCTCCTCCTCCTCCTCCCGCTTGTCCCCATCCCTTCTCTTCGCTTCGCCGACAGCATCATCCCTCCTCTCTTCGAAGAAGTAAGAGGAAGGCCTCCTCCTCCTCCTCCTCCTCCTCCTCCTCCTCCTCCTCCTCCTCCTAGACAGCCCCGAAGCGCCCCAAGACGACACAAACAAGCAGCAGGACGTTCATGTAGGAAAAAGAAGCAAGGGCAAGAGCTGCATGACGGATGCGGGGGATGAGAAGGAGCAAAAATATCATAATCAGGGTTGGGGGAAAGGAGACGAGGACCAGGACGGATGAGGGTGAATGAGAACAGAGTGAGGATTGCTGCGGAGGACGAAAAAGCCGACGAGCAGGACGTAGGACGAGGAGAGATGAAGGATGGCAGCGAAAAATGGTGATGATGAGGAGGAGGAAGAGGAGGAGGAGGAGAAGCAACAACAATGATACGACGATGCGAAGAACAAGAACGTCCGCTGCAAAGCAGCGCTTCCGGCTGGATCCTCGACGCAATGAATACGTTCTCGCAACCTTCCCCCGAGGTGAACTCCAACCCCGCCGGCTCGTCCAGGTACCTTCAGGACGGCTGCACTGTGATAGAGGGCAGAAGTTAAACGTGGAGGATGGGGGGAGGACGAGGAGGGGGGCGGAGACGGCGATAAGGAAGGTGAGGAGGCACTGATGCGAAATGTGGAAAGGGGGAGGATCAGGCTTGGGAGGAGGGAGCGAGGAAAGGGAAATGGGGGCAGGAGGGACAAAGGGGATGACTTTGGGATGAGTGGGGGGTAGGGAGGAGTAGGAGGAAGGAGGAGGGAGGAGGATGGGAAGGAAAATATTGAGTAGGAGTAGGAGTAGAAGCAGGGGGAGGATAAGGAGGAGATGGATGAGGAGGAGGAAGAGGAGGAAGAGGAAGACGAGGAGGAGGAGGAGGAGGGAGGACGAGGAGGCAGGAGGAGGAAGGAGGAGGAGGAGGAGGAGGAGGAGGAGAAGGATGAGGAAGAGGAAGAGGAGAAAGGACGAGAAGGAGGGAGAGGAGGAAGAGGAAGGAGGAGGGGAAATTAAGAGGAGGAGGAGGATGAAGACAAGGAAGACGAGGGCGAGCAGCATGAGGGCGAGGCCCCGGAACAACGACGACGACGACGAGGTCGAGGTCGAGGTCGAGGTCGAGGTCAAGGTCGAGGGCGGCGGGCGCCTCCAGGACGGCGGGGCCGTGATGAACGGCATGATCAGCGCGGGGCAGGCCCCCGCGGCCCAGCCGGCGCCCGCGATGAGGATCGCCGTCCTCTGGTACGAGCCAAATGGCCCGACGATCGCCCAGGCATCCTCCAGCTCCAGCGGCATGCGCTCCGCGCGCCGGCGAGGGGGCCAGGGGAGGCGTTGGACTCGAGCTGGCCGCTGCGGACGGCGTGCCTCAGAGTGCAACGGCTGGGGGAAGAGATAGAGGGGGGAGGGGGGGAGCCAGAGGAGGCGAAGAGGGAGGAGGACGAGAAAGAGGGGGAGGAGAAAGAAGAGGAAGAGAAAGAGGTGGATGAGGAGGAGGAGGAGGAGAAGGAGGAGGAGGAGGAGGAAGAGGAGGAGGAAGAGGGGGGCGAGGAAGATAGGGAGGAGGAAGAGGGGGAGGAGGAGGAGGGGGAGGAAGACGGGGAGGAAGAAGATGGGAAGGAGGAAGAGCCAGAGGAGACGGAGAAGGATGATGACGAGGACGAGCAGGAGGAAGGGGGGGGAAGGGCGAGGAGGACGACGGCGAGGAGCAGGGAGAGGCTGGAGAACGGCGAGGGAGGCGACGAGGAGAGCGACGACGAGTAGGGCGAGGACAAGGCGGAGGACGCAAACGGCGACAACGACGACGACGACGAAAAGGCACGCCGCGAGGCGCAGCCCGCCGGCAGGTGTTGCTCGCCCTCGTGCCCCGGCTCCTCCTCTCCCCTCTGCCTTCGCTCGCCCTGCCCTCCCCCTCCTCCTCCCCCGCCCCGTCGTCCTCCTCCTCCGCCCCCTCTTCCCCCGTCCTCCCCGTCCTTCCCTCCCCGCCCCAATCGCTGTCCTGCTCTTCCTCCCCCTTCCCCCCTCCTCCCGCCCCCCTCTTTCTCCCTCCTGTCGCCCCCCTCCTCCCCCCCTGTCCTCCCCCCTGTCATCCCCAGCGCCGTCAGCGTGCCCTCCTGTGCTCCTGTCCGCCCCAGCTCCTCCCCCCCCGTCCTCCTGTCCCAATGCCCTCCCCCCCACGTGCGGCTCTGGCCGCCAGCGCCGTGGCGTGGTTGCTGGCCCCGCCAGCCCAACAGTCCCCCCGGCCCCTCATGGCCGACGGCCCCTGCCCCTTCATAGCCCACGCTACCTCTGCACACGGAGCGCGCGGGCAATCAAGGGCTGCCCGCCCGTCTTCGGCTGCAAGCCGGTCCCAGAGCATTCTCAAGCTTTGCGACGGATGCTGCTCCCTCAGGTGCTGTTCGTCGTCGTCATCGTGGTCGTCGTCGTGGCCGTCGACGTCGTCGTCCTCCCCTCCTCCCCACCATCAGCCCCTCATCCTTCCTCTTCTCCGTCCCTGGCCATCCCTTCTGCCCCCTCCCGCCCCCGCGCGGCCCTTCACGGGCGCCCCGCCGTGCGTCGCCGAGGGCCGAGGGCGTGGGGGCTCGGAGGGCGGCGGCGCCTCGGGCATCCCTGGCTTCACCTCGAGGGCCGCACACGGGGGGGGAGCACGCGTTCCTCGTTCGTTCGTTTCGTGGTGCGGCAAGAGGTCTACGCCTATGCAGAAATCAGAAGCGAGAAGACCAGAGGAGGGAAACAGAACCAGCAGCAAGTCATGCGGAAATGATGAAGAGGACTTGCGGCCAAAGACCATGAGTGTTGCCTGGGTTACTACCTCGGGTGCATACCAAAGAAAAAGGAAGTATACATTCGCCCAGCTTGCTGGGCTACTGCCAGAGGCGCACGAAATGGACAAGTATAGTCCTTCACCCAGGCAACAGCGGTACTGCCAACGGCGACCGCAAGTTAACTAGAACTTGCGCACCTGTGCGATACTGTGTTTCAAGTGGGCGACACTGGAGACGGCCTAGAGAGCCGTGTCGGCGCCTTCGCGCACAGGCCCACTCGACTGAGCAACAATCCGAAAGGGAAGAGAGGCATATATTATGGTGGCAAGGATGTCTTGGTGAGTGAATCGGTCCTTCGTCGTACGGCACAGTCTTCAGGAGTTGGATGGGCGCCTGCGTGCGTGCGACCGGTATGCAAAGTTAGAATAGGCCTCACAGATGCGATAGGGGTCCAAGGGTGCGTAAAAGTGCCTAGCCTAGAGTCGCTGGAGCCTTCTAAAACAATCGACTTGCGAAACTTGTATTCCTGGCTGAGCGTCCACTTGAGTGGTCGTGGGTCGTGGAAGGAGCCAGGAGGAAGCCCAGAGGGGATGCCGTGAGCGATGGGCGGACAAAGTTCGGGGAAGCGCGAGCGAATGTGAAAGAGAAAGGTGGCGGCGAGCATGCGGCACGCGCCCGACGGATAGGCCTTGGCCGCCGCGGTACCCCACGCGCCTGTGACGGTCAAGCCGCTCAGAGGGGGATGGGGCGCTAAGTGGTTACACAATGGAGCCCCCTCCGTCTGGCAAAACCACTCATCCATGGAGGGGAGATGCACGGCAAGCAATACCGTGGGTTTCAAGCAGCGGGCCCCAAACCTACACTGGTGGATGGAATGAGAAACTGTGCCAGGAAGGGTGAGAAACCGTTTGACTTCGGGTAGTAGCCAGATGCTGGGAGCGTCCTCGACATGAGAAGCATGTGCAGGGTGTTCTAGCACTGCTGGGATGTGGTGTCGCCAAGCCTCATGCAAGAAACGAAGGGCCACCCGAAGCAATTGGTTGGCCACCGAAATCTGGACCTGTTCCTGTTTGGTGATATGGCCTAGCCCCCAAAGCTCCGAGGCGGACGAGGAGGACGGCGCGCGCGAGGGGCAGGTCGGTGTCGAGCGACCGACCAAGACTCGCAGGGAGGTCCTGCAAGTACTCCTGCCACACGACCCGAACGCAGCATGTTCATCCAGAGGTCAGCAGTCTCTTGATGCGCGAGGTCACCTAGCTCCTTGTGATTGGCAAGATCAATGCGGAGCACACAACGCCGAGCCTCATGGGTCTGCAGAAGTCTCTCGAAGTGGTCTCGAAGTCGCCCGCGCGCCTGCGCCCAGAGAACAAGTGTAACAAATACTTGTGGGAACGTACTGGGAGCCTGGGGGGCCCGGGAAAGGCACCGACAGGGAGGTCAGGAGGGGGGGCGAGGGGAAGGGCAGGTTTGGGATCCTTGCGAGAAGCCCGAGCCTTCGGCGCAATGGGGGGGCCCAAACATTGCAGCAGCCAAGGGGGCGAAGCATGCGTTCCAGAGCGCCCATGGAGCCGGCTGATGGAGCCCTCTTTGCGAGCTTCTTCACGGGCCTCGAGGATTTCTTGCTCCGTGGGTCTAAAGGAGGACTGTTCCCACGCGACCTGGCAGGATGGGGAGTTGGAAAGATGCTTAGTTCACCAAGTTATCTGTCTGAAGTCCCGTAAGCAAACCTGGCAGAAGGGGGCCTGTCGCCAGCCTGGAGGCGGAAGTCGCGGTCGCGTGGAAGCGCCCAAGATGGGCCCTGAGCTGCTGTTCGCTGCATGGTACATGCCCACACTCGTAGCAGAGGCAGCGGTGAGCAGGAAACGGATCTGGGAAAGTGGCCTCCGTTAAGCACTCGCTAAGTGGGTCCTGCCAAACCCGAAGGTGTGCTTGATCTAAGTAGTAACGATTCGCCCTCATGGTGGCCGTGGAAAGAATATGTTTGTAATCCCCAGGGGGATCTCGGACAAGCTGGACCCAGTGGCTCTGGTCGTTGTCTGCAGGCGGGACTTCGGGAACAACCTTGAGCCAGGATATATCTTCTCGGATCAAAGCAGCCCTACCCTCATGATCTTCCCAAGTCATGTCGGGAAAGCATCGTAACGCTGGCGGACCTTTGCATACAACCCTGGGCAAGAGGCGGAGTCTCCCGATGATCAAAACAACCTTAGTAGGTAACCTTTCACAAGAAGGAGTGTCTTGGCATTGAGGTGGTGAAACTCCGCATTATTGGTGGCCGCTCGACCCGTGGGCACTCGATACACTGCGAGGTGAGCAGTGGTTACTTTCCTGGATGGGGAGACCGTTAAGCGGGTCCAAACTGGGCTCCCGAAGAAGAGCACGGAGGACGCAAGTGCCTCCGCTGGCGTGACCTTACAATTGGTTTTCCGAAACGTCCTGGGAACAACAATGTTGCGAATGGGCCGTAATGCTTTTGCAGACTTCGCAACCCTGGTGGTGACATCCGGCCCTGGGAAACCGTCCGCTGCAACCTGGGAACCTAGGATTTTGTGAACCAGGGTGACAGGAAACGTGTAGGGCCAGCGGCTGGATGTGACTTCACTCAAGCAGTGTCCTGGGAGATCCCGCATGGTTTGACGTGACCCCTTGCCGTTGAGACTGAAAAGAAACTTGGTTTTGGAAGCATGGATGCTGAAGCCAGCACGGGCCGCAGCGCAGTGCACCAAATCTCCGAGGCTTCTCGCAGCGACGAGGGTATCGCAAGGGTCGTCGATAGGGGCCAAGACTGTGATATCGTCAACAAATGACAGTTCTGAGCATCGGTCCCAGTCCTGTAGTGTGGAGAAATTAGAAGTAAGGGCGTTATACGCCTCTTGGAATGATAGCCCAGCGGAGTTGACTTCCAATTGGATGTCCATGTGCACCTGACGGAAGACGGCGTTGAAGATGTCCATGGCAGGCACAGTGCCTGGACGAGAGTCGAGCCTAGGGGCAACGAAGTCTGCTGCGTCCCGAACCCGCCAGAATGTGTCTCGCTGCGTTTTTTGGACGAGGAGAGCCAGTTCATCGGGGGGGAAATGCTGGGCCAACATTCAGCCTTGGGCAAGCTGAGCCTTAACCCCCTGTAGGACAGGAGGTATGTCAAACCCTTCGAAGGCGTCCGGTAAGCGGATTTGTTTCCCAAGAAGGGAAAGGGCCAACTGTTTAACCGTGGAGTAAAAGGCATGGGCCGGCTTTTGGGTGTGTTTGCAATATCTACGACAGGGCCTCCGAGGAGGACGAGATACGGGAAAACGAGGAAGCGTAGTGGTAATGTGCACCTTTTCCTCCCCCGAGGAACTCCCTGGCTCTTGGGCCAGACTGCGGACCCCCTCTCTCTTCTCGCCCTCTTCCACTCCACGATTTGCCTCCACCCCCTCTCCCTCGCCCCCCCCGCCCCGACTCGTCCGCTTCGTGCCCCCCCCCCCTGGCTCGCCCTCACTCTCAGCGCCCTCTGTTCCCCTCCCGGGGAAACAGTTTGACGGATTGAGGCGG